TTTTGTATGATCGGAAATGCAAAAAAAGAAGAAGGGAAGAAAGAGGAGAAGGATGGGAAAGAGAATGTTTATCTAGTACCCAACCGAGTTACATTTTCTCGCAATTCACATTGGCGGATCTGGGGGAGGGGGGTCATGGGTCCTGGGTCCTGACCCCTCCCTTGGGCAACAACAAAAGGGGAAAAAGAAAAGAATTCTAAACCTATCTTTTCAGGACCGTGAGCTGATTTTTTTTTTCTTTTTTGTTGCTATTAGAAAATTAGAATTTTGAAGAACGTAAAATTAATTAAAACACACTTCAAATGTCGGAAAAGCTCAATTTCCGCCATCTAGGAATCAAAATTTTCCCGGGAGAGAACCCCCCAGACCACCCTTTTTTTTGGGGGATTTATCGATTCATGGAAAAAATAATACGCATGCAACTACTCATTTGTTTATGTATATGTATACACACATAAAATATTTATTGGGATTTATCGATTCATGGAAAAACTACGTATGCAACTTACTCAATCTTTTTTTATGTATGTATACACACATAAGGCCTATTTACTGTATTAACAATGGGAAAAAATTATCTGACAGTTTTCAAGAGTGGAAAACCTTGAATTTTGAAGAACTTAATTACTTTCAAGTTCACATCTACGTAAAAATTCAAGGTGTTCCCCTCTTGAAAAGTATTATAATGAATCAATGAACCCAGAGAAAGGGAAGTTCGAGTTCTTTCCGGGAAAATGTTGATTTCTAAATGGTGGACAATGAGATTTCCCGATCCCGACTTCTGAAGTATATTTTTTTAATGACTTTAATTTAAAAGACACCTCAGAAGTCGGGAAAGCTCATTTCACGAATTCTAGGAATCAAAATTTTCCTGGGGAAGAACCTCCGGATCCCCTTTCTTTTTGGGATTCATCGATTCATGGAAAATTCGTATGCAACTACTCATTTTTTTAAAATTGTTATGTATGTATACACACATAAGCCTTATTTAACGTAATAACAATGGGGAAAAATTATCTGACCGATTTCAATAGTGGAAAACCTTGAATTTTGAAGAACTTAAAAGTAATTAAAGACACGTCAGAAGTCGGGAAAGCTCATTTCCCGCCATTTAGAAATCGCAATTTTCCCGGGGGGGGGGGGATGTTTAAAAAGAGAAGAGAAAAACAAAGACAAGAATAAAAAGGAAGATATAATGAACAGATATCACAATACCCTGGCCTGCAACCCCTTCTCCACTTCAAAAAGTGTCCATAGCGCATTTGATCTAAGCCGCCAGATATTCTCCGCAGTGGTAAGCACCGGGGGACAAGGGGAAAATATCCATCTGTGGAAAATCTTTCCCCATTGAATGCCCTTTTCACCCGGGAAAGTGCCTGAAAACCTCAAATTTTAAATCGCATATTTTGTTGAGGTAGGCCAATTTCCTACCTTGTTGAGGTAGGCCAGTTTTGATCAATTCCGACGAAATTAGAATTAAAAAAACAAAAAATTTTCGCGCGCTTCGCGCATTTTTTAATGTTAATGCTTGTGCTTGCTCTCCTTTGCATTCTAAGTTATAACACATAGCCCCAAACTCAAAAAAGAAAATTTAAGATAGGTCGTTGTACCTAAAAGAAGGGCCTCAATGTGTAATGATGTTGAAAGAATATGTTTGTAATAAATAAAGCCATAAGGAATATGCTTATATTCAGTTTAAAAAAACGAGTGTGGCCATATATAACATAAAAGCATTTCTTGTTGAGGTAGGCCAATTTCCTCTAAAAAATTGCACATTTAGGGAGTT